TGCCAGTGCCCGCACGCGGCCGGCTGGGAGCTCAGGAGAGACTGCGACTCCCAGGAGCTCCCGCGCGAGGAACCACATCTCCCAGCATGCTGCGCGCCCCGCCGCTCCCAGCTTTGCTGCGTCTCCCCTGCTTTGCCAGAACCGGACTGTGGCTTCGGGTGAGGACGGGAGCAGCCCGTCCTTCCGGGCACTACGGTGTCCCGCGGGGGCTGTGCGGTCTTGGGCTTGGGCTTGGGCTTGCGCCTGCGCGGCACAGCGGTCTCCATGGTGGCGCCCGCGGGAGCCAAGACGAGGTTGAGTAGACTCGTTCTGGATCCTCCGCCGGCCGCGCCCAGCCTCCTGCCCTCCCCTCCCCCTGCCCCGCGGGCCGCCCGCGGCTCAGGGGCGGTGCCACCCCCGTCCCGGGGCCTCAGACTTGCCCTCCGCCCAGCTGCTCCGTGGGGCCCCGGGAGGAGCCGGCGGTGCCGGGGTCCCAGCTGGGCCCGTCGCGGGCTGCGCGGGCGGGACAGGCCGAGCCGGGTTGCCAGGAGCCAGGACCCGAGCGCCCTCCCCGTGGATGGCACGAAGTCCCTGTACCCGTGCTTTCCTGTTCACGTTTCGCAGCCTCCGCCACGATCCGTTTCTTGCAGAAAGGCCGCGCGGAAGCTTTCCCGCCTGCTTCTCTTCTTCGAGGCCCACCTGGCTCCGCCGTTCTGGGGAGCAGGCGGCTCAGAGGCTGTGCGGACCCACGGTTCCAGGCTGGGCCTTCCCCGGCGGTCCCCTGAAGGAGGAGGGCAGCGCACTGGTGCTGGTTCAAGGATGGACGCGGCCAAGGTAACGCCGTTATTTGAGTGCACGAGGGCATGACTCTGCCTGGCCTTTTTTCCCTGTTACACTTCATTTGTGCCCATTACCGCATCTCTGTGCCAAGTAGATCAGCGGTTCCCAATCTGTGGTACACGCGCCACCAGCGGTACGCAGACAACCTGTCAGCAGTATGCATTAATGGATTTATATTTTAATTACTTCATATGACAAAAATGTGTTGGTGGTACTTACAGTTGCATCGTTGGTACTAAAGGTTGTATCATTTTAAATTGGTGGTGGGCAGTGTCAGAGTTTAGGAACTGCTGAAGTAGAGCACTAACGTGTTGTCCTGAGCCTGCCAGCTGTGGGGCGGTTGGTGTTGGAGAGGGCTGGCTGACCTGTGGCACTAAGTGACTGGGGCAGGGACAGGCAACAGAATGGCAGCTCGGGCAGAGAGCAGGAAGCAGCAGATTGGGCCAGAGAAAGGAATCAAAATGGCAGGCGGGGAGGGTGCAGGGCTGATTTCTGGCACGCCTGTCCAAAAAGGTGGCCCCCACTGGCATACAAGCTACTTCAGGTAAGGGTGATCATTAGTTTAAACATGTTGTCTAACCCTTCTCAGGTCTACTTGATGGGCATACCATCATCTGATGGTAATCATCATCACCTAGTCCAGGACAATATTTTTGGGCAGTGCTGAAAACACCCACAACCTCAACTTGTAAGATGTTGGTGTGCCAGGGGTGGACAGCTGTAGGACCATGAGGGGCCTGATCCTTGTTGCGGTAGCGCAGCCCTGGCCCCTTCCCCACCTCTGCCCCAAGGCACATGTGCCAAGCAAAATGCCTTTGCATGTCATGCATACCGGGGGTTGCCTAACCCTGACCTAGTCCACAGTAGCACTTCCAGCTGGGTAGGATTCTCTTTAGGGAGCTGTACCACTGATAGTAATACAGCTACATTTTTAAGTTACTTAGTGTAGCATGTGCTATTTGTTGTACAAACTATCCTTTTCAGGGTGTTGGAACTGCTGGTACTATATTTGTTTGCAGAATATGAAGAAGCTACAGCTTCCAACCAAGCACAGTGCACACATTAAGTTTATATATCTATGAATTAATGTCCAATACAGCAGCTAGTGTGAAAGTAGAACTCGTTCTCAATAGGTTTAATTTTAAAATGTCCTTAAAACTAAATATTTCTGTTAAGTAGTTCCATTGTATTTCATAGCTTTCTTCTAAATTTTTAAGCCTTGTGCCTAACAGAAAAGGAATTACCTGGGTCCAGTAGTTGATAGGCTTCCATTGAGTATTTGCTTACAAGTTGCTGTTGTTTAGTGTTGCTCTGAAATAGTTTTACTGAATTTTGCTACAGGCTTGATGTGGGTGCCTTTGTGAAAATCCATTAGAATTTTTATAGCACTTTGATGTCCCTTTGGATAAAGGATATTATATAAATGTCAGATTATTTATAAAAGTGCTTAAATATGTGCATACACACAGGGAGTCAGTGTGCCGATTCAGAAAAGGCAAAACGTTTTGCATTCAGGGCCTAACTTTAATTCTCTAGAAGAAAACAACTGTAATTTTACTTGGGTAAGAACTGAATAAAAATGTAAAGATTTAGAACTTTGTGAAAAATTCCATGGAACTTTTGTCTTTGAGTTCCAAGGAGGCTAGATTTTGACCTAAACTTATAAGATTTACATTTTAAAAAGCAATTAGGAAGCAACGTCTCTAAGCTGAGGTAAAGTGCACTCTGAATGAGGGGCTGAAATGAAGTACTGCAGGTTTTTTTTCCAGGTTGCCTTCTAATGGAAGAAAATGGAGTTGATCATGATGTCAGCATGGAGAGAGCCAAAGACTTACTGGTAGTCAACTTGAATAGGACGGGAGAGTCAGAAACACATGGCCATTCGTTTCAGGTGAGACAAACTGGAATGTAGTTGTCCCAGTAACTTATTTCCATCATCTGTGAAGAGTTTATAACACAGCAATCTGTTTACATTAAATATCAATAAATCTTATCTATTTTTCCTCTCATTACTTTATATCATGTACAGAATTGTCCTTACTTTGATTTTTAATACTGTTTAATTTAAAATGAATGGCTATCTGGGTGTTAATTCTAATTAGATTGCATTCTGGTAATGAATTTAATAAACTGCAGATCTTTCAAGGATGGTATGCTTGTATTACTTACAAAAAAAAAAGTTATTGAAAGATTTCTGAAAGAAATACTAACTGGAGTGGATGAGAGTGGTGGGTGTTCAACACTTCTGAAAATCAGTCTGCTTATATTGGTGTCTAAATATGCATTTAGAAGCTTGTTTAGCTACCAGGGGCTCTTCTGGCAGTTGCCATCTATCTTCTATCAAAGTATTTTCATCCAGTTCCTGAAAATATGTATTAACGTTCCTTTGTTCATTTTACAGTTTTGTGCATTCTAAGATAGTCATGTTCTCAAAATAAAATAATGTATTTTGTCCTTCATATAGTATGGTAAAGCAACTTATGCAATATATGAGTTATCATTGTTCTGATTTAATTGAATAGAGCAAGCCATCAATCGTCTTTCCTGAAAATAGGTGCTTGGAGTTAAGACCATTTTATTTAGAGGAGGAGCATCAAACGTATGGCCTGCTGGCTGGATCTGACCTGTGGAGCTATGTGATCTAACCCATAGGTCAGGGAGGGAAATTATTTCCGGCGGAGGGCTGCTTACTCCATTTTGGCAAGCTCTTGAGGGCCACGTGGGTAGCCCTGCCCCTTGACAGATGCCCTGCCCCCTGGTCACCATCTTGGGACCAATGTCTTGGGACCAATGTCTCAGGGCTAGCACCAGTGGGGTTCAGAGTGGGGCACAGGCTAGCAGGGGTCTGTGGAGCCAAACTGGGCTGTACCAGCAGAGAGAAGGGGGAGCTGGCTCGGCTCCATAGAGCTCCTGATGCCCTGCTCTGCACCCTGCTGGTGCTGGCCCTGGAACACTGGACTGGGTCCTATGCACCCGCTCACTCCCAGTGCCCCCCGACCCCGCGCTCCTGCCACCCTGCTCTGGGGCCCCGCTGACACTTGCCCTGGGACACCGGTGCAGGCCCCGTGCTTCTGCTGGCTCCCGCACCTGCTCACTCCTAGTGCCCCCCAGCCCTGTGGTACAGGTGGGGGACAGTGTGCAGCCCTGACCCCCTGCTCGCTGGCAGGGAAGAAGCTGGTTCTGAGCATGGGGAGAAGCAGCCCCTTGCCCGCCCCATGGCCGGCGCCC